ATATAACTTTTGCTGTAAATAAAGTATGTCAAAAGCTTCAAGAACCAAGATACAAGGACCTGAAAGCTGTCAAGAGAATTCTGAGATATATCAGAGGCACCATCTCAGGTATGGGTTGATCTTTCACAAAAATGGTTCTCTAAATCTCTATGGTTTTTCAGATGCAGATTGGGCAGGATGTCATGACACAAGAAGAAGTACCTCARGCTCATGTATCTTCTTAGGACCAAATTGCATATCATGAAGCTCTAAGAAGCAAACTACAGTAGCAAGATCTAGCTCAGAAGCTGAATATAGAGCAATGGCAGCCACTACAGCAGATCTCACTTGGATTATGTTTCTCTTMAGAGACATTGGAATCAAAATGCTCAAGCCACCTTAACTCCTATGCGACAACATGAGTGCAATTCATATGGCAAAGAACCCTGTTTTTCACGCAAGAACGAAGCATATAGAAATAGATTATCACTTTGTAAGAGAAAAGGTGAGTCTTGGACACTTAGTCACAAAATACGTACCCTCAACAAAACAAGTGGCAGATATATTCACAAAAGCTCTATCAGGCTAGTTTCAAAAGAAATTTCCAACCTGTACAGATATCAGCCCACTGTCATTTGATTTGTCCAACAAGCTAAAACTTTGATTTTGAATTCTTTCTTGGCATCAGAGCCCACAAGCTCAAAACCAATTGGTAATGAGAGGAGTAGCCCATGTCTATTATAAACCATTGTTAAGTCCTTTCTTTTATCAATGTGGGATCCTTAACAGTTTTCCGTGCTTTCTTATGGTTGTTGATTGGTGGAGAGTGTTAAAACTTGTATGTTTTTTATATTATTTGTTCTTTCCTTTGATAACTGAGTCTGAACGTGGAAGGTTGTAGTGAGAAATTAGTTAACAAAAGGGTTAAGAGAGAGTAGATGTAGACTCTGCCTTGGTTATTGCGTTGCTAGCTTTATTTATGCAGACTATATATTTTTGTTATTCTTTATAAATTGCAATGGGTCAACCTCAAAATATAATGGGAGGATAACCAGATTGACACGATGCCATTTTTTTCTTATCTTTAGTTATGTCGACTGTAATGTGTGTTTTTGTTTGGTAAAATATGTTGTTATTATATAAAAATGTGTGCATCCATTATTTTAAACTATCATTATCTTTATCATTAGTCTTCGTGTGTGTCTCTTACATTCAAGTGGAGTTGTGCTTCAATGTTATTTAAATTGAACATTTGTTATTTATTGTATTTGGTTAAAATTTTATTTTCAGCATACAAGGTTTGTATTTTTAGGTTTTCTCCATTTATTTACGTATTGTTTATTTATTTTTTTTAGCTTATTTTTTCGGCTTTCTTAGGGATTTTTGTTTATGTACCTTGATATTTCCCCCATCCTCTCTTCTAATATTGTGTGTTTTGTGTGTTTCATTGTTAATTTTTATTGAACATTTGTTATTGATTGTATTTGGTTAGAAGATATATTATTTATACAAGGCTTCCTTGAGGGGTTTTTGTTTATGTACCTTAATTTTTCTTCCCCATCCTCTATTTTATTAGTACTGTGTATTTCGTTGTTATTTTAATTGAACATTTCTTATTTATTGCAGTTTTATTATTTATAAAAGGGTTGTATTTTTAGTTTTTCTCCATTTATTTACGTATCGTTTATTTATTATTTTTGGCTTATTTTTCCTGCTATCTTAATATTTTTTCCCCATCATCTCTTTTAGTATTAAGTGTTTCAATGTTATTTTAATTGCACATAATTGATCCTATTTATAGTATTAATTGAACGTCACTCTCTCCTTCTCCCTCCTTCCTCCTTCCTTCCATTCCAATTGTAGAACTATACTCGCTTTTTTATTGAACATTTGTTATTGATTGAAATTTTATTTACTTTGTTACAAGGTTTGTATTTTTAGTTTTTCCCCATTTGTGTACGTATTGTGTTCATTTATTATTTTTAGCTTATTTTCCTTCTTCCTTAGCGATTTTGTTTATGTACCTTAATGTTTTTTCCCCATCCTCTCTTCTAGTACTGTGTGTTTAATTGTTATTTTAATTGAACATTTGTTATTCATTGTACTTGGTTTTTTATTTATTTACAGTTTTATTATTTATACAAGGGTTTTATTTTTAGTTTTTCTCCTTTTATTTATTATTTTTAGCTTATTCTTCCTGATTCCTTATGGATGTTTGTTTATTTTTAGCTTATTAATTTTTTCCTTTTAATTGAACATTTGTTATTGATTGTATTTGGTTGGATTTTACTTTACAGTTTTCTTATATATACAAGGTTTGTATTTTTTTTTTTGTTTTTCTCCGTCTATTTTCCTTTTACATATTGTTTATTTATTATTTTTAGATTATTACTTTTCCTGCTTACTTATGGAGGTTTGTTTATATATACCTTAATATTTTTTCTCCATCCTCTCTTCTAGTATATCTCCTCTCTCTCTCTCTTCTATATAATCAGTTATTTACATCTCTATTTTCTCATTCATTGTTTGTTGTTTATGAAAATTTTCGATTTGTTTACTGAAAATTAATATATGATCGCATCAAGATTAAATCCCACACGTTCAAATATAGAAGATATTAGTGTTACCAATTGTCACTCTCTTACATTTTTATGCATTTCTTGTATCATAGTCGAGTTCTTTTTTTTCCCTCTAAAACTTTTATTTCTCTATAACCATTTTTCTCCAACTTAATTTTCCCTAATTTTGTCCCATTTTCTAAATTTTCTCAAAAATATATTTTTTTCCTCTCTTTTCTCAATCTATAGCTTTTTACTTTGAGTCGTTCAAAATTTCTGTTTTTGTGAATTTATACTTATAATTTGAAAATCGAAAATTTAAAATTTTGTCATTTTATTTTATTTTTAATCTTAGCATGCGAGTAATCACCTCTATTGGTTTGAAAACAAATTTCAAAAAATACTATAAAACTCTCCTTTTTCTTCTCTCTAAGAATTTTTCTTATACTTTCTCAAATCTATCTTGCTAATAATATTTCAAAAAATTATATTTCTCAAACCATTTCTAAAATTATAAAACCATTTATGAAATCTATCTTTTTTAATAACATTCTATAAGCTTCAAACATTTCTAAAATCTCAAATTAAACCATACCTTCAATCTCAGTAGAAATGTTAAATCATGCCTAATATATAATTTATTTATAACTCTTTAATAATATATAAGTAAAAATATTTTATAAAATAAATCATTCACAAATCTCAAGACGTAAACTCAAGTTACACCTGGTCTCGATTCCTGCCTAATTTTGAAATATTAATCCAATACTAAATTAATTTATAAATTAATCCAATACAAATTCAACATATACTTATTTCCAATATAAACCACTAAGATCGCTTAGCAAAATAAGGTACGGCAAGAACACGGAAATAACCGAAGTGGAAATGGTAAAGTTCATTTGAATATGGTGTAATTGACTTTTATGCATAGGTAAACAGGGTTGAAAAATTCTTATCGAGATAGTGGCTGGATGAAATGTTCATACGAATTTGGAGGTAGACCTACTTTAAAATCACTCACTTTTAGGTAGTTAATGAACTAATTTTTAGGTAATTAATGAACTAGTAAAACATGTCCTTTGAAGGTTAACATTACAACTCTATGAAGTTGGGTATCCTAATGAAATTGGAGTGGATGAATATAGACTTATGGGCGATGCAAAATTTGTGCTTGCTTTTATTTATAAATAAGAAGCTTGGGATCTCTATTGAGAGGCCAAATACTCTAATATGAATATGAAACATTGAAAGACATTTGTAAGTATTCTTAAACAATAATAGATATGTTTTAATTAATAAAGACAACTTTGGAGATCATAAAAGAGAACGCGAGCCAACTATATGATTAATCAAAAAGCCAATGAGACCATTCCACTATAGAACAATTTTAATCCAACTATATATCTAATCTGTGGAGCACAATTTTTTATTTGGTTCTAAGATTGATTTATTACATAATTCAAACAACAGTAAAAAATTAAAACTGGAGCTTCTTAATTCAAAAATATTAGATTTAAAAAATTGCCGTTTTTTCAGAGATTGGCCGTTGTTTGCCTATAAGACCTTTTTTTTTCTTTTTTCTTCTTTTAACGCCTTCTACTAAATTTGTTTTTAAAATAGGTTTCTTAGCAAACTTATTCAAAAAATAGGACGTTGAATAGTGTTTTAATTCTAGAGACGACCATTTTGAAATTCATAAGACGTGATGTATTAGTTGTCACCGCATCTCAAAAGTTTTATGTATACTTTTTATATTTTTTGTTTGAAAATGGGTGGGGATTCGAACTCACGATCTCTTGGTTCGAGATATATGTTAATAGCATTGTCAAGGACAACGATATTACCAACTTTGGGCATAACCCTCATGACTTTATTTTTTTGTTTCACTCAAATGTCTCATACTAGATAATTGTCTTTATCCATATACGTGGATCATGTTCTTCCCTAACCAATGTAAGACTTTGTATTTCAATACTAATTATTGGAGCTGGAGCATTGTATTTCAGTACCACTCGGTCCCATTTGCTCGTTGCTGCGTAGATATTCGCAAGCTGAACGTATCCGATGGCGCTCATGGGGTCGAGGTCTAACAAGTTATTGGCTGCAAACTCTACCAGATCAAGGTTTTTGTGGATTCTACAGGCCCCCCAGAAGGGTTCCAAAGATTGCGACATGAGGCTTGAATGGCAACTCGTTAATCACACTTACTGATTCGTCTAGCCTACCAACTCGACTGAGAAGGTCGATCACACATGTGTAGTGGTATGATTTTGCCTCGATTCTGAACTCCTTCATAGACTGGAAATACTGAACGTCGATATCGACGAGGCCTGCATGGTTACAGGCTAATAAAACTGCAACGAACGTGATCCAATCTGGTCTCGTTCCACCATTTCTCATCTCGTCAAACAAACGAAGCGCATTTCGACCAGTGCCATGTTGAGCATAGCCTGAAATCATGGCATTCCAAGTAATCGCATCCTTTCTTGGCATCTCGAGAAACAACTTCTAGGCGCTATCTAGATCTCCACACTTGCAATACATGCTAATCAATGAAGTATGGATAGAGGAGACTTACTCACCAGTTGATGCACTTGCCTACCCATAGGCAAAGCAGACAAGTTGCTACAACCAAGAAGGACACTGCTCAAACTCGAAGCATTTGGCCTCACCCGAGATTCAATCATTGCCTTGAAGAGCTTTAGACCATGCTCGGCACGACAATTCTCGACATATCCCGTTATTATAGAGTTCCACGTGACCAAATTCCTCAAATCCATCTTATGAAATATCCTTTCAGCTAAGTCCACATTCCCAAACTTCACGTATCCAGTAAGCATCTCCTCAACCACACTCTTTATAAACGCTTTCTCATACAACTCCTCAGTGGAATCCAAATCTCCCTGCTCCACGTACACAGAAATCATAGCACTCCACGAGATGCCGTTCTTCTCCGGCATCACTAAAAACAATTCAAACCCCTCCCGCACTTGCCCATTATGGGCAAATCCCGTGATCATCGTGTTCCAAGACCCAATATCCTTGACAGGCATCCTGTTAAAGAAAGCCAAAGCAGCCCCAACACCACAATTTCTTAAATAACAAGCCAGCATAATGTTATAATACACAGAATCTGGTTGAGGAATTTTATCAAACACTTCACGGGCTTCCTTCATTTTCCCAGCCACCTTCGAGTATCCCGACAATATAGAATTCCAAGTAACCGTGGTTCTAACAGGCATTTTGTCGAACACCCCCGTGGGCGGAGTCTAAATCCCCAGCTCTTACTAAACTGGTGATTGTTTTATTCAACGAAACAACATCAGAAGCGGTGGCAAAACGTACTTTTGGGGTCACGCTATTGGGGGAAACCAAATGGGTTCTTCGCGATGGGTGGCCGGAAGATGATTCTTCATTTGAATTGGAATGGAGGTTCTGGACAGGAACTAATGGAGGAATAAAGATGGAAAAATTTGGGCGTAGGCCCTCGCGATTCTAAGATTGATGATGATCATTTGTCATGAGTGGAAAATACCATTTTCAGCGCTGAGCTTCGAGCTTCTTTCGCAGATCATGGCAGATTCTGAAATAGCAGAACTCTGAACTCGGATTTCAAATGGGGAAAAAATGAAAAATTCCGTTGCCGGGACTTGAACCCGGGTCTTTCGGGTGAGAGCCGAATATCCTGACCAACTAGACTACAACGGACTGTTGTTAAAGCAGATGATAATAAAATTATATACCCTAATAAATACGGAAAAAATTAATTTTATTAAATAGGTTTGGGATTTTTTTTAATAATGAAAAATACAAAACTAAGATAGCGTAATTTAGTGGATGCAAGTTAGGCCAAACTCGCATACGTTGGATGCTGGCTCGCTGAAGCCATGTGTTTGCCACGCCGAAACGATTTTCGCGTTGTATTTTTTTTTTTCTCTATTTTTCCATGGTCTTTGACCTCCATCCCCTCCGTTGCCTGNTATTCCTTAAAAAAATTGGTCAGATTTGTCGAGCGCACACCCGTTTTAGATCTGGACCATTTTGTTTCAGATACTAAACAACTCATCTAAAACGGTAGCAAATAGTGGTGGTCGGTAGCGGCAAACTTTGTGGTGGAGAAGAAGGGGATGAAGGGGAATAAGAAGAAATAGAGGGTGGGGGAAAGGAAAAAAGAAAAAAATGGAAAACAGGCCAATAAATAAGAAAAATACCTAAATAATTTTGTTTAGTAAATCGACGTAATTTCTAAAATAAATGAAATTGCGTGTCTTGTACGTGACTCCTCAGTCTAACTCGCCACCTACTGCTACGTTTTCTCTAATTTGGCAATCCCTAAATGGCGATTAATGATTGCTATTTTGATTTTGACTCTCTTTATCGTATTTTATCGATTGTTTTTTAAATTTATTTTATTTACATTTTGAAAAAGTTACTTTCTAACCTACCATATTTTTATAATTTGTTTTTAAAATTACATTATTAGTGAAATTACCACGTATGTTTGTTTGTTTTTTTTTTCGGTTTTACAAACATTTAAAAAGAAACTAGTTTGTGCACGTTGCGTTTTTTTCTTTTTACTTTATTATTATAATTTATTATTATATTTTATCTAACTAAATGACACGGGCTTAAATTTATAAAAAGGTTAATGAAGTTATTTTTTATTTTACAAACTGATAAACTTTTTAAGATACTAGTTAGTCTTGTGTATTTTTTAAATATTAATCTTGGTTCATATAGTTTCAATTTTTGTTCATTTTAGTCATGTACTTTGAAAATATTCGTTCTAGTCCATATACTTTTAAAAAATAACTATTTTGTGTTGAGTTCGGGAATGCAAACAAAGTCCTAGCACGTTTTTTGGGTAACCAAAATGGGTTCTTCACGGTGGCCTCGAAAACGGGGAAAATGAATTTTTTGAAAAATAAAATAATGAAAATGGGGAAATGAAATTTCTAAAAAGAAAAAATAATAGTAATAAAGGTTTCAAAAAAATTCCGATGCCGGGATTTGAACCCGGGTCTTTCGGGTGAGAGCCGAATATCCTGACCAACTAGACTACAACGGAATGTTGATAAGTGATTGATAATGACGATATACAAATGTAAATTACAATTGCAAATAATTCGACAAAAGACCTTTAAAGGGAAAAGAAAAGGTTTGACTTTAAAAGACTAGTTTGTGTAATGCACGTCGTGCGTTTTTTTTTACTTTATTTTTTATTTTATAATTTAAGATTTTGATTATATTTTATCTAACTAAATGACATGTGCTTCAAATTTATAGAAAGTTTTTTTTTTATATTTTACAAATTGATAAATTTTTTCATCTTTTGAAACGATTATTTATTATTATTATTATTATTATTTATAATTAGTGTAATTGTGAAATTTAAAAATTTGAAAGTTAATTTAAAAATTAGGTTTAAGTACTCTTTTTATTGTATTTTTAGTTTTGGTTTATTTTATTTAAGATAATTTCAAAACGTCTAGTTTAGTCCCTGTAGTTTTAAAAATTAAATATTTTGGTCCCTTCATTTTTTTTATCTCACTTTTTATAATCATAATTTAGTATGACACTTGACTCGTTAATTTTTTTTTTTGAGATGTAGTCATAAAATTATATTAAAAAGTTTATGAGAATTTTGTAAATAAATATTAAATTGGACCATTTTTAAAAGTACGAAAGAAAATTAAAATTTCCTAAAATAGGATTTAAACTTGAAAATTAATAAACCTTCCTATTTAGGTAAAAATTGATTTTTTTCCCCAAATTATTATTTTATCTGTAGACATTTTGAAAATTCGTATTTGGCGACGCGGTGTCGATCAAGCAAATTCAGCTGCCGGAAGAACATCAATTTGGAGGGGAGAGCCGTTTCCGATCTGCCGTTCAGATTTCCAGCCAACAACCGTTTTCTCCTTCTACTGTTCAACGACGCCGCAATTCTGGAATCAAAACATTTTCCCGGAATTTCCAATGGCTTCGCCTGCCTGTTCCATTGTTTCCGGTAAGGTCAAAAGACTCCCATTTTTTGGCTGCATTCGTTGTTTGATTCTCTGCCGCTGTTTGTAATTTATCCTCCTCCAACCTCATCGGGATAGAATTTTGTTCCTCTTTTGTATTTTGCTCTGGAATTTCCACCTTAAGTTTTCAAATTGTTGTTTTTCTTCCAATGATGAAGTCTGACTTTGTTCTAGCCGCTCGGCGGGAAACCCTCTGGACTGGAGAATTTTGGTAAATGTTAGCTGTTGTTAACTCTTTTGACTGGACATGTTGAAGTTGGGTGCAGAATAGTCTCTATCTTCGTAGAAGTGTTGAAATTTTTTTGGCAGTCACTAGTTTTGAACGACTACTTATTTAGTATGTTATGTGCGGTACTAAAATCAGGATTACGAACTTCAAAGTCATCTTTAAGATCCTCCTCCTCCTTGTTGTGGGACTCAGTAAGTGGATCATTCATTGCCTGAGAGTTGTCTTATTATTGTTCCTTATTTTCAGCTCGCCACCGAGTGCTGATTGGTCATTATTGTTAGTACTTATCTACCCACTGTGTTGATCTGAATTCATGTGAAATGTTGAGAGATTGACCTGATTCAACTAGTGCCTTGTGAAATAACTTATTGGTGAAATATCGCTGAAGTAAAGCAGTTTTTTGGGATTTTTAATTATTTGTGTAGCTCAGGAGATGAAATTCCTTATGATTGCCAAGAAAATCAACATTATACTCCTTGATCAAAGTTAAAATCTGGGATCTACCTTAGGAATTAATTCCTACGTGTTTTCCAGTACCAAATGTTGTAGGATCAGATGGTTGCGCCGTGAGATTAATCAAGGCACGTGCAAGCTGGCTCGAAGACTCATGGGTATAAAAAAAAAAACTAGGACCTACGCAGAAAGAGTCTTGCTCTTGATGTAAGGGAGTTGAAGAATCTAGTTTATATTACGTAGGATGAGAAAACTAGTGTATATATTCATGAATCCTCTTGTGTTATAAAAACATTCAGTTTGGTAGCTAGGGACATGGACGATGAGGAAGATGTTGGTATAAAAGAAATGACGAAAAATATGTGCCCAAATGTTGCATTGTGATAGGCAACTGAAGGTAGATAGATTAATTATTAAATTGATGTGTAGATTAATTATTAAATTGATGTGAAGTTCTAGTTGGTCAGAAGGTGAGCCTTGATGTCCCTCTGGGGACATCCAATAAAATTGGAACGATATAGAGAAGATTAGCATGGTCCCTGCGCAAGGATGACACACGCAAATCGAGAAATGGTCCAGAAGGCGAGTCTTGACATAGTAACCTTATGGGATGAAGGGAAGATTAAAGTGCTACAGGTAAGAGCACATTCTCTCTCTCTCTCTCTCAATAAAGTTTCACTTGAGAGATAAGTTGGATGTATAGATTATAAATATCTATGATATCTTAACTATTGGGGAGAATTTTGAGAAGCAAATACTACAATATGTCGATCGGAGGTGGTGTTGAGTTGGTAATTGAAATGCAACTATGTGGCCTCATTAAAAGTCAGGATTACGAATGTACCTAGAGTTTTCCATAGAAAATTATACTTGTGCAATTGAACTTGAGAGAAAATTGACACAACTACTTATTGACACATAGTAACCTAGAAGTGGGCAGCTATGGATGTCAGAGTGGTGAAGAAGGCAAGGATAGTCTTTGACCATTCTAAAAATTCTTTCAGAAATTGGATCTCTAGCTCAGCAAACTTTTTCCTTTTAGGATGGAAAGCTCTTGAATTTTCCATCCTGGCTTAAAAAATTTGTGGAGAAATTTTCGGTAGCATATAGCATAGAAGGAACTAGGAAGGCTTGGTTTCAAAATATATTTTAAAGTTGAAAACTTGGAAGTGAGTCTGAAAAATTCGAGAGTTAAAACACAAGAAGGAGGAGCTGGAGAGGCCAGTAGATGATCTTGACCGCAATGAGAAAATGGGTAGATTACAATGAGATGAAGGGTGAGAATAAAATATGGGAACTCACAGTTTTATGATATTATCTTTCTGAATATATCGTTTTGTTAACAGTGAGACAAATTTGACAATCTAGGTCTAGAATGCAATCATTTTGTTACTCGGCATAAGTGGCTAAAAGAAGAAAAGATATTATGAAATATATTTATTATTTTCTTGAAGTTTACTTTCATGCAACATAAAGCAATTAGCATTTTGATTTTGAGATCTCTATTATTTTATTTACCCTTTTTGAATTCTTGATTTACATTTGGAGCAAGGGAATTGTTTCAAATATGACTTGGTTGTTGATAAAAAAGGGTGCTCAAAATTGAGGAAACAATTTCCCTTGTTTGGTGTAGGACTACATGGGACCCAACCATGTGGGGACTTTTTCCATCCCTAGCTCAAGGTTGATTTCTTTAAAACAGTGCTCCTAGTTTGTTGCTTGATGTGCAATGGAAATGAGAAATGAGTGGATCACTCTTCCTTCCTTTGGTCCCTCTTTTAGCACAGAATCATGGCTCATGGGTGAGGTTGCTGAATATTGTTAAGGGCTAGGGAGGTTGCTGAATATTTTAAACTGGCAATTGTCGTGACCTAGAGAGATTTGGGACATGTTGCGCTTTCATTATGCAGCCATTCCTTTAAGAAATTGTATTTGAGAAGTAATCTATAAGGAACTTGTAATCTGTTTATTTGTCTCATTGGTCCTGAATGCGTATCAGCTCAAGATATCATCTCACTACCTTATGTGGAAAATAATGCTTAAACTATTCTGGTGCAATGTGGATTGAGCTCCTTATTTTTTATTTAACATGGCTGGCAGGTAGCAAAGGTGTTTTACCATCAATGCAATGTGAAATTATGAATCAAATGGGTGGAATCTTACTCTAAATTCTTTTTCAACGATTGGGATGGGTGTTGAGGAGTGGATTATGCGTATGCACTCTCTTAGGAAAGTGGGATTTTATAATTCATTTTATGATTTCGATGGAGCGATTCTAGACCCTATCTGATGTAGGGTTATACTTGTAAATTAGTCAATCATTAATGGTCATTGGTCAATGACTCAATATGGCCGTTAGTAACTAGCCGTTGGACTAGTGACTTGCTTGTTAGGAGTTTGCTAGGTTTTGGTTAAACGCATCCTATAGTATAAATAGTGTTTTAGGTGTTTGAAATAAAAGATTATTTCCCTTTGGTCTACACTGCTGTCCTTGGCGAAATCTCTCATTGCAAAGCTTGGTGGTTCTCTTCTAGCCATATTATGCTTCTTGTTGAGGTGCTTTAGAAGAATGAAATCTGAAAGAAGTGTAAGGTTTTTTATGAACTTTTTTCTTGGTGGTGTTAATACTGCAGACAGAATCAAGCTAAGGACTTCGAAGAAAGCAATCTCCCATAGTTGGCATGTTTCTTCAAAATGACCAATAAAGATGTTGAGTCACTTGTTTTTTCATTCTCCTATCTCCTTTTTATGGTGGGTGATCTTCCATTTTTTCTGACTTAAAGGAAGGCTAAAATCCTTTAGTGCAACACCACACTAGCCAACTTAAGTGCATTTAGTTGGAATGATATCGTAGAATTGTTTAGGATGATGAATTCTTTGACTTGGGACTCTATTAGCTTCTTTCTTTTAGTTGGTCTAACCTTCCTAAATTGGAGAAGATTTGTGTTCTTCTTCTTCTTCTTATTTTGTAGGCATCGGGTATTTCACTCTTTCAATGAAATTTGTTTCTTATAAAGAAATAAAAGGAAAAAAATATTTGACTCTTACAGCCAATGTGAAGATTAGTGTTTGTTTGATTGATGGTTTGATTTGATATTTAATTCTATTATAAAACTTTAGTTGATATGATATTTTAACACTCGTTTGTTGTGGTTTTAACAGAGATCTGGTAGCTTTTCTCATCATTCTTAACTAATCACTTGCAAAGTTCAAGATGTGCCATGATAACTTCCACGTTCATTCCTTAGAAGTGGCAACTACAGCTGAAGATAGTCTCCTAATATATTGCAAACCAGTTGAACTATACAACATTCTTCATCTTCGTTCCCTTAACAATGTAATATGATGCATCTTCTATGATCAAATTACTTCTTACTCTATATTCTATTGATTTCTAGCGGATCAGCTTCCTTATGCTTCTTTGTGTACAAAATTTCCATTAAGTTATTCGCATTGAATTGAAGCTTTTCGAAGTAAAATATTCACATGCTTTAAATTATGAAGCCCTTTAGTTGCCATTATGTACTTGAAAGTTCATTCTTTTAAAAACAAACATTTATGTACTCAGCAACGTTGACTGTGTTCTGATGAAATTAATTCCTCTGTTGCAGCCTTCTTTTCTTCGACGTTGTTTGCTTTACAAGTTACAAGCTAGGCGAAAAGAGAGGTTAGATGTTCATTTTCATATTGAATGAAGGGGATAACCTCTGGCAGATGGCTATTGGCTACTTTTTTAGTTGCTTAGTTCATGAATTGACACTTTGTAGCTATTATTCATTAGTTAGAGGAGATCTCTGATCTGAATTTGATCACAAGATATTTATTTTAATTCAAATGCACTTAATACATTACTAATGTATAGCATATTAGATATGGATTTTGCCGACCAAAAGTTGTAGGGTCAAGTGCTTGCTCGTGAGATTAGTCGGGTGCGTGCAAGCTGACTCAGCCACTCACGGTTATCAAAAGGCAAAAATAAATATTAAATATGGACTTTATTAGAATTTATATTTGATGGCGTTATGTGGCACTTATTTGGCAGAATAATTTCTTAAAACAATTTTCCAAATAAAAATAGTATTTTGCTGTTTTGCCGTTTTTGTTATTGTTAAATTTATTGTTCATGTAGAGATAAAATAGATGGAAACAAAAGAACAGAAACATCTTTCTGAATGGTCTTTTAAAATTAAAACAATAGAAAATAATTCTAAATAGCTAACGTATAAAATATTTTCTTAAAAATAATTTTTAAAGACGATACTTGAACAGTCTCTTATGTTTCATAGAATGGTAAGAACAACACGTTCGTTCATGGAGACATCAAAGTGTCTTTATGGTAACACCATTGGCTCATGTATCGTACTAAGCTTACATATGAGAATTGCAGATCTATTTGTCAACTAAGTTAAAAGAGAGTGAAATTGTTCTCTTATGCCCTCATCCTTTCTGGTATTCTATAGTGAATTTGGTTTCCTTGACATCCCATGGGTGCGTGACAGATAATATTGGCCTTATGTACAGGGTGAGCACTGGAGTTGTAATTTTCAACTATAGGGACTACAACAACATTGTGCGAAAAACGGAAGGTATCTCCCCGCCATTCTTTGTGTGAAACATCGAATGGTTTCGTCTTTGAAATGCCTTTGATAGTGCCATTTTCTTGCAATTGCTATGAACCCTACAGACATGTCTTTGATAGTGCCATTCATGTATTTTGAACGATAAAATTTTGATCATTTTTGGTAATGGATTCTATGTATGGTCTTTATGTGCTGAAAAGTTAACCATAAATCTGTTAATCATATGTTCCGTGCAAGCATATAATCAATAATTGCTATAAATGGTGCTTTTGATGGTTGGGGCAGGTGTGGGTATCCTTGGGTATAGGGGACCAAAGCTCCGACTCCCAGTTATCAAAAAAAAAAAAAAGAAAAAAGTGCTTTCGATGGGTGTATTTTTAATTTTTTTTTTCAAATTATTCCATAAAATTTAATATTTTAAAACCATTTTCTATTATTTCTAATTTTGAAATTTGTTTGGAAGATATTTTTGTTCTTTATTTATTTCATCCCCATACTAATTTACAAATATAATACATTAAAGCAGATTATGCTCTTTTTTTAATTTTAATTTTAATAACTGTATATGAATTGTAATTTAACAGAATATGAAAAAAATACACTGAGACAATAAAATACTGTTTTTTTGGTTCTCTTTCCTGAAAACCTTTTTTTTTTGACAAGACCTGAAAACCATTTTTAAAAATTATTCTGCCATCAATTATGTATCCAAAAAATGTTTTTCATTTTTGAAATAAAAAACTATTTTGAAACATGATTTTCAAATATATCCTTTATTCCTTGTTTTATGACCAAGTCATGAGAGAGCAGTATACAAAGAAAACCCAGTTGCTAGCCAGGGACATTTTTTTCCCAATTTTAAAGGTGATGCTTAATTTATCCACATGTATGTATGAAGTACACTGCATTAGTGGAGTAAATCGCATTCAGGTTCATTATTACTCTTTGAAGTTAGGGATACATGTGCCTTTTACTCTCTAACATTTTTTTGATAAGAAACAAGGTTTTATAAAGACCAAGGATTTTATTACAAAATTGATATTTATATCAATTTCCCCCCTTTTGCCTATGCGTGTAGTATTAATTTATTAGATGTCTTCAATTGAGCTGTAAAATAAGTAGTAGTCAGTAATAGATCCTTTCATCAACATTGATGGGACCGTTGGAACTAAAAGAGTTCTTATCATTAGAGCTAATGATATCTGTAGATGTTAAGTTCCATTGTTTCTGGTTGAGTTAGATGAGAAGTAATCTTTTTTTATCTGTAAATACATGTAGTTTTCTTTTCTTCAAGAAGTATTCTTTCATCTTTCCAATCACACACTCCCATTTTTCAAAACCCCTCTTCACCAAGGGGCGTGAGGGTGCACTGGGATTTGATATATCATGTATTTCCCATTATGATATTTTCATCATCATTGCAAGATGTCTGTGATATTTTTGGACCTCAATCCACTAAATATCTACTAATACGTCTGTTTAACACAATTTGTTTTTTGCACGTGAACGTATAGTTTGATCCCAATTTCATTCTCTAATCATGTAGTGACTGAAGACTTCTCATGTCCATTTTGTTTGATGCTATGCGCAAGCTTTAAGGTAGGCACTCAGACTATAATTTTCCTTAAATGTGAGTTGAAATTTTGTATCGTGACCTTTTTCTTGTTTTGAGTTCTTGGTTTGAAATTCATATGCAAGTTTCTAAGGAAATCAATTTCATAGCAAATATGCCTTTTATCTAACTTTTTCCTTCTACGTATATTTTATTATGAATGTCCTCTTTCAATCACGCTGCTAAGAGAACTTAATATCTACAGATATATAGGCATTCAGACTGTATGATCTTCCTTCAAGGAAACAAACTCCAAAAGGAGTGAATGGAAAATAACTATCCAATAACTTAGTCGTTATGATAAGTGTGAAGTGACCTAACTGAATGAGATAACCACCTGAAAACTAACAGAAGTCTTGTAGCTGTTGCTACAAAAAATTGTGTAGTGCAGATATTCTACATTTGTACTGCTCATGATGACATTTTCATCAAGTTGGTTCCGATTGATTGAATCATATTGTTATTAATTTACTCCAGTATTTCTTTTGCTATACTTGTTTTTGTTGATAATATGTGTTTTTAGATAGCATTAATTCTAGCTTGCTCATATCTTTGAGATAATTCATATGATTTGAAGATTTAGTTGCTTCTTTGGTGGTATCCTTGATTGAACCCTTGTGCTTATCTTTTAGGGTTTGCGCTACCACTTATGCTCTTCCCACGATTTGTTCAACTTTGAATACTGGGTTGGTAATCTCCAATGTCTAGATGTTTGCTGCTTATCGAGCCATTTTGTGGTTTGTGAAGTAACATTTAACGTGTAGGTGTCTGAAGAATATCAGGCAGTGAATGTCTCTGTGAAAATTGATGTCTTTAGATCCGAGGTAAGAGTTCAAAATTCTTTTTTTTTTGGATGGTTCTACTTCATAATTTTGATTTTCTTATTGTTATCATGCCAAACAAAAGGAAGTTACGGAACATTTGGTGAATTAATGCTTGGTTAGACTCAAAAGGGGTGAAAATATCGACAAATTTCGCGATATATCACCCAAATTTACCTATCAACAACGATATGAGAGAGAAGAATCATTCTTTCCCCATATTGTGGATATTATGATTCAATATCAACGAAATTTTGTTGATCTATCCCTGATATCTCATGGGTATATTAGAGTTATCAACCCCAAACCATTAAAATATTTTAACTGCAGTGTTTCTTTTACTTTGGCAGTACAAGCCCAAGTTCTCAACCACGAGAACTTTAGATGTGGGACACAAACAACTCCTCTCCAATCTCTCTATCGATGTCCAATAAATTTCTCTGATGCAGGACAATTCTTCTCTCCTCTCCTCTCTCCTCTCCCACCATGCCACTTATCTTTCTCCCACCTTTTTCTTTTCTTTTAATTTCTTTTTAATTTTTATATTATTTTCACATTTTTTACCATAATTTCTCTCCTTATTTTTCTTCCTATCTCTGTCCCTCTTTATCTCAATTAGTTTGTTTTATTTTATTATTGTCTTTTAATTTTGTTATAGTAATGGTATAATTTATTAACCTTCAGTATTATCTATTTTCATATTAATCCATATGTTTGACTTTAAATGATCGATTATGTGCTTAAAATGATAGTTTATAGTTTAAATAAGTTATTACTAAAGTTCCGTTAAGAAATTTATAATTTTTTTTTTAATTTTTGTGATATCCATTTTGAATACAATATGTGAGGGTGGGGATTCGAACTCATAATCTCTTAGTCGGAGATAGGTGCCTTACCAGTTGAGCTATGCTCAGGTTGGCTTTCTAGAATATCCATTGATCTTCCTTACTTTTCTTTCCTTGTACACTAGTAAATGAAAGTGTGTGAGTGCTTCCTGAGGAAAAATAGGAAAGAGGAAGAAAACTCTCTTCCCTGTGTTTTGATGAAGTCTCTTTTTGGCTGCTCGTTCCATTCTCGTTTCTTATTTCTTATTTCTCGTTTCTAGTTTTTGAGAAACGCAAATGTTTGGTAACTATTGGTGTTACTCGTTTCTCATTTTTAAAAAACATTTTCAAAATTGTGTAAAATTTTGGAAACAAAAAAATAAAATTTCTTGTTTTTGGTTCTCATTTTTTATTTTTTCTAAAGCAATAAAAAATTATTTTATCATTCTTGGCTTATAAAATGTATAATAGATATAAAAAATAAATATAAGATAGAAAATTTTGAATATTTAAATAAAAATTTAATTTTCTTTTTTTAATTTAAAATTTTGAGAACAAGAAATAAGAAATAAGAAATAGTTGTCAAACATGTTTCTATTTATTTTTTCAATAATAAAAAAATAAGAAACTAGAAATAATTATCAAACGTAATTCTATTTCTATTTTTTTAAAAATAGGATGCAAAAAACAAGAAACAGAAATGAGAAATAAGAAACTGGAATAATGGGCTCTTAGTAGCCACTCTAAGTAATAAATGACCACTTGATTATTGGTTCTCTGTCTTCCATTGCTGCTTATTCCATAGTTCCGAACATGGTTGGCATGGTCTAACGAAGTACAAGCTTATTATCGCTGGAATGTCTCACCTTTAAATTTGGCATTGGAAAGTTGCTATCAGAACCAAGGTTTTCAAAGACTCAATCAAGTTAATACCAAACAAGTTGGTACCAGAGGAAAGGTGCATGAAGAAAACATTCCTTCTTGAATTGATAAAAGCTCTATAGATCAAGTGTCAGTGAGGCTAGTGGATCAGTTGAGCGGTTATTAGTTATTGTCTTCAACTCAACTAACCAATTAGAATAACAAACTAATCTGACTCAGTAGTTATCTGATGATAACATTTGGTAGGTAGTGGTACAGTTTACAGGCCTACACTCATTTCAGCATCAAAAGAATTACGGAATGAAAAAGAGCGGAAAAATAAGTAACAGTGAGATTGAGAAAAAAGTAGGAAGGAAGCATAAATATATGAAAAATCCTTTTTCGGCCAATTCCCACATGTACATCGAGTCTGTGACTTGCACAGATTTTGTTTCATTTGTACTATCTCATAAGGATACTTTTTTTTTTTCTTTTTTTTTTTTGATAACTGGGAGTCGGAGTTTTGTTTCCCTATACTTAGGGGCACCCACACTCGCCTCAAGGCTTGAACCCGAAAGACATCAAGGGTTTTTGGTATTTAACTCACTAGAAGATTCAAACTTGAGACTTCTAAGCCAGTATGACCAAGGGACCCCAAACCCTTACCAATCGGGCTATCCCTTGGGGCAGAAGGATACTTCATATTTCTAATAACGTTTGTTGATTAGTGTTAAGGGGCAATCCAATTGGCAAGGGTTTGGGGTCTCTTGATCATACTGGCTTGGAGGTCTCAAATACGAACTTACTGGTGAGCTTAATACCAAAAACCCTCGATGCTTCCTGGGTTCGGGCCTTGGGGCAGGTGCGGGTGCCCCTGGACATAGGGGAGCAAAGCTTCGCCTCCCAGTTACAAAAAAAAATGTTATCACTTTGCACGGAATTCTGCTCCAGTGTTTGTACTGTTGCGGAGGGTGAGGGATAGAAAATTTTCCAACCTCTACAATTTTGGTCTGGTATATAGGAGGCCTCTTCTCTGTTGAAGGCTGCTAATATGCTTTTCTTGGCAGGCTGTAGCAGATGGAGTAGACCCGCAAATACAGACTTTTTTCTTCGGGTATGCTTTCTGAACCTCTTCGTTTAGATTTATCTGGTTGGCACTTTGTCTTGTTCTATCAAAATATTTGACAATTTAATATCCAGTTCAAGGCCACGAAAGCGCAAGTTAAAGAACTCTATTCAGAATGGGAATTATGTGCAATTCTTGGAGATGGACTCACCTAGACCTGCCGCTGAAGGTGCCAATGGGTCTATTGGGAATAACGCGGGTAATTTCTTTTTCTTTAACCTGCCATAAGTATTTTATTTTTTCTTTTGCAGTTCTCTCAGTTATTTCATTTAACATAGAGGACTAGGGAGTGATAAATTTCTGTTTCTCATGTCTTACTAACGGAAGTGGAGAACAGCAAACTAAGATTATGCAAATGTGCCATTCTGACATTCTTCCTATAATTTGACTGATAATTTGTGCTTTTTCGAGTTAGTGGTGCTTAATTTCTAGAAATTTTTGACTGGAGAAATAGAAGCTTCACTAAGCGTGTTTTTTTTTTGGAACAAGATACAAACTTCTCATTAAGATAATGAAAAGGAACAAAAATATTTAAAGATACAAACTCGAGTGAAGATACAAGTAAAAAACAAGAAAAACAAGAACAAGAACAACGCAAGTAAGAAAAACTTAGTATGGTGCGACAAAAACACCCCAATTCGTACAAATCAAACTAGGAGAATAATGTTTAAATATGGGAGATAGAAAACTCCATTGCGAAGCCTTATATTTAACAAGATCGAAGCGTGGTGAAGGAGGTTGCCTCTTATCTTAAAAAATCCTCAGATGTCTTTTGTATCACAGCTGATACACTAAAGCCTTTAGGCTTTACTCCATTAAGCCAAAGAAAAGAAGCTTTGGGATCCAAAGTGGGCCCCATAAGGGGCTGACTTGAAATATCTGCCATCTCATTGCCCAAAACCCATGCCAAAATGAATTCTTCTAGCAGAAAATTCCAGCACTGTCTTGTGTAAGGACAAAAGAAGAAAAAAGAAGAAAATATGAACCGTGCTTTCTTCATTAGCCAAACAAAAATTGCAAACTGATGGTAAGAGACTGATATTTGGGAGCTTCTTCTGTAGAACGTCAATTGTGTTAACCTTCCCATAAATAAGAATCCATGTAAAGAAACTCACTTTTATTGGACTTTTGGATTTCCATATAGCCTTAAAAAAGACTTTTGACATTGAATTTGCTTGCAAATTGATTCAACAGTGAAGATCCCCAAGCTGTCCAAAGACCATCTTCTGCTATCCGCTATTCCGGTATATCGCTAGGAGAATAAGAATGTAGCAAGGACAATAATGAAATATATTCTTCCATCTCATCATCTTTTAATAATCTTCGCGTATGAATTTTCCAAGACAAGGTTTGCGAATCCCAAAAGACAGCCACTGTCCTGAAGGAAGAAGTGGAAGCCTAAAAATCTTTGGGGATTTATCCCTAAGAGGCTGATCTTCAATCCATTTATGAACCCAAAACAGAATTCACACACTAGAACCAAGTTTAAAGGCCGAAAACTGGTTCCATTGCGACCAATGTCGTGAGATGTTGATCCAAGGTCTTCTAAGACAGCCATTCTTTGAAGTACCCGAGGACCAACTCAAATCAGACTCACCATATACACTAACAATCACTTTGCGCCACCGGGCATCTGTTTCGCATCCAAACCCCAACCCCATTTGGCCAAAAGAGCAGAATTCTTCTTAGAAAGGCCACCAACTGCCAAGCCGCCCTCATCCATCAGCTTAGAAGTAAGCTTCCAATTCACCAAATGGTTTAAGGCTCCTGAAGACCCACTATTCCAAAGAAAAGATCTCATCTTCCTTTCAATTTGTTTACAAACTCCCTCCTTTGATGACTTCTTTCACGCTGATCCGCCCTTCATCCCACATTAAAAGAATACCTCCCGATTTTCCAATTGAATCAACAGTCGTCCATCCTATGACTTTAGAACTCCACAAAGATTTGATAAAAAAAGGAAGGATCGAATTGCTGCAACTTTGTTTCCTATAGACAAACTATATCTGGACATTGGTTCTGGATGAGCTTCTTTTTTTTTTTTTTGGGATAAGAAACATTTCACTAAAGAACCAAACAAAAGGAGAGAACAGCCTACGGACAGGGGCAAAGGCAGCCCCTTCCACGAAAAAAGGAAACAAATCACACAAAAGCACTCCAATCTTGTAAAATCATGGAGAGACTATAATTACAAAAGAATTTCGTATTTCTAGTGCACCACCAAGAAGCTAAAAACTGCACACTATTACAAAGAGAATCCCAAGACTTAGCTTTATCTTCGAAGGAGCGAGAGTTCCTTTCCAACCTCTAATCTTTGCGCTTAGGGCAATGACACAGCTAGTGAGGTTCTGGATGAGCTTCTTAATCTTCAATCTTTTATCGTCCTTACCCAAACCTCTAATGTTCCATGTGATCACCTTCATTGAGAATCGTAATAGGGACCAAATTAATACCTGCTTCTTTAAAGAATGAAGGGATTGATGCTGGCTCTTCAACTTCTTGTGCCTCACAAAATAGCTTTTGCAAGTCTATCTCCGTCGACTGTTCGCATAAGACTTCATCTGGAATTTCGAAAGAGTTTGCAACCGGTGGAGAATCCGGACTGCTTATACTATAGTCTGAATCAAATTCTTCTCCACGAGAAACCTTGGGAGAAGAAGGCGAAGAGGCTGGAATCTTAGAAGTGTTGATAACCCCATGTGATAAGGAGGGAGGTAAATAGTCATTATAATCGACTGAAGGACCCAAAACGTTTTTTGGAAGAGTACTTTCTCTTTCTTCATTTAATGGCTTAGTTGAGACTGACTTTATTCCTTCATTTATGGCTAAATCCTCAACCGGTACAATATCTAGGGAATAATTTCCTCTTTCCTTATTGAATGCCACCAATAAATTTGTTTTCAACCCCTCCAACGGGACTAATTTCTCCTTACCTGTTTCTAAAATTCTTAACGAGTTTTCCCCTTGATTAGTATTTTTTTAGTTAACAAAGGGGTTCCAAGGATGTTCCATTATATCACTTCCTGTAGATTTTCGTGGTTCACAACCTATAGAATACATTAAAAGTCCAAGGTCAGTTTTAAATAGGACATTATCCTACAAATAGAAGTACATTAAAACTTAAATTCAAAAAGGGGGTTGAGGATTTTACTTTTCAATGTACACCTAATTCAAAAGCATATGAATTAGTTGTGTGAGATATTTTAAATTCATTGATAGATAGTATATATCACTCACCTGGAAAACTTGTATCATATCAAGTTGTAGTTTATTCATTATCTTATTTACTTTATATGGATTACCTCTTCTTTCACTTTTCACTCGTGGAATTTGAACTATATGATCACAAAAAATTTGCTTGGCAATTCAACTGAAATTAAGTCTGTATTTAGATGGGGTATCCTGTGAAAAAGAGGGCAGCCATTCATTCCCGATTGAGACTTATTTGCAGAATGCACAGCAAGAAGGAGAAAATATTGGTCCTGAATGTCCTACCTCTATAGAGTGCATTGAACGTGTTGCATCCAGCTCAAGTATTCCGGGTGTCTCAATGGCTATCAATCATTCTTCTACGGGTCCTGAATGTTACAGATTACTGTCTGGAAGTGATCCTTTACAACCAGCCAAATCAAGGAAATTGACGGTAGAACGAGACCCTAGAAAGTATGTTCACCATTCTTTTTCTGGCTTTTTCTTCAGATATCAAAGCTTTATTTTCATGTAGTCTTGGGTTGTTAACCTGTTTAGTTTAAATTTTTATTTGTTTTACTGGTTCCTTCTGTACTAAAACTAGTTGGAGGGTCGCTAAAATAGAGCTTTAACCATGTAGCTGGTTGCATGGTGACTTTTTTACTTTTTTCTTTCTTTTTAACAAGACAAAATTTTTATTGATGAATGAAAAAGACAAAAATGTTGGAGGATACAAACTCCAAAAACGAAAAATTAAAAAGTCAAAAGAATATAAGAAAATATAATAAAAGCATCCCAAGATGAATGAGTGATTCCAAGAGAATAATTCGCAAATAAATTAAAAAGTGAGCATCATTGAGATGCCTTGACTTAGCGATCGAAAGAATTCATACATGGTGACTTCACTTTGGGTTATGCATATTTAAACATTTTTGTGCTGGGCTTGTGAACATTTTTTGATATTACTGAAGAAAAATACTTCTAATGATGATGCATGGGCTTAGGGTTCGTTTGCCTTCTTTCACTCCTTTCGGAGTTTGTATTTTTGAGCGATCTTTCTTTTCATTTATCAATGAAACGTTTGTTCTTGTTAAAAAGAATGATGATGCATGGGTTTATATATGAAATCTTTGATATTACTGAAGAGAAATACTTTAACTATTTCACTTTAGTTGTATTATTATAATTTTAATTTAGTTTAGATAATTATATTTTAGCAGATATTTTCATTCATTTTGTGGCTAGCAGTATCATGAATTCATTTCTAGCCATGTTTAGATTAGTATATGGTGTGTTGAATTGTGACTACCAATAAATCTTCTTCGGGTCCTAAATGTTATAGACTGAGTTTTCGGATTGATGAATTCTTTCTTGGAAAAGGGTGGTTGAGGCAGTATTTTTGCAAACTATCTGTTCTGAAAATAGAGTGGTTTTAAGTTATATTGGCATACCTTTTGGACTGCTAGTTTGCTCAGTCGTTATGAGGGCAGCTTTGGGTACCTTTTGGAGTCTCCAGGGCAAGAAGTAGAGATTGCAGGGTGTGGTAGAGGAGGTTTTGATGTATCCCCTTTTTCGAGATAAGAACAAAATTCTTTGGTAGACATGTCTTTGCGCTATTTTGTAGGGTATATAGATTGAGAGAAACAACAGAGTTTTTTTTAGGGTTGGAGATATCTTGATAGGCTACTTGGGAGTTTATAAGGTCTAATACTTCTTTGTTAGACTCGGTTACAAAGGAGTCTTGTAATTATCAGTTAAATGTTCTTCTTGTGGATTAGAGTCCTTTTTGTTGTAGGCTTGGCTTCCTTTTGTTGAGCTTTTTTTTTATATGTCATAGTATATTATTTCATTTGTCTGAAAGAAAAGTCGGTTTCTTATCAAGTATATACATATAAACCTACACACATGTATATTGGCATACCCATATCATGTTCATGTTCGTGTTTACTAGCTTTACAGTGAGAATGAAATCCAAACTTCAAGTTCTTATTTGAATTCTAGAGTCGTGCATAGGTTTATAAATTCTGAGTATGCCATTAAATAAGGACGTCCAATTCATTTTGTTTTTTCAGCCGCATGCTATTGCAGAAACGGCAGTTTTATCACTCTCACAGGGTTCAGGTATGATCTTTATTTTTCATGTTACTTTTTTGTCAATTTACTTTTTAGTGTAGCATCAGACGATATGAAGAATGATTTTTTCCTGTTGGAAGGGGTGGGTGGGGGGTGGTGGAATCCAGAGCTGGGGTGGGTTTCATTAATGATCAGTTCGATTTGGTTCAGTTTAGTTCTTGTAGAGAGAACCGTAAGAAATGAATTTGAACCAAGTCTCAATTAGGGAAATAATCCAAGCAACTTGTTTGTAAGAGGAGGAAAATTCCCATTCAGAACCAGCTTTGGATCTTTTACATTTAGTAGTCAGAATATATAAGAATATATGTAAGTGTTAAATCACCAATCAACCTAAAAACCTAAGCTGATAGGTTACAATAAATTTAATTTTTTATAAATATCTCGACATCCCCTCACTAGTGGGCTTCGAAATTTGTACAAAACGCAACAAGTGGTAATCAATATTACATAGGGATGAAATGACATTAGAGGGATCTGAACACAGGACCTTCTGCTCTGGTATTTTGTTAAATCACCACTCAACTCAAAAGCTTAAATTGATGAGTTATGGTAAATTTAATATTTTATAGATACCTTTACAGTAAGATGTTTAATATATTAGATATAATATCAACATTTCATTACTGATTCCTGTCACTATTATTCAGAAAAAAAAATACTTGGATTAATTCGTTCTTAAATAGTGTTGGACAAGTATTTTGGGGCTTATTACATGATCTTTCCAGGTTCTGTTCTGGTAATTGAAAATTTGAAGTGTAGCTACAGTCTTCTAGCTAACACATACACCTATTTTGCTCCCATTCTTCTCCCTGTATGCTACCATGTATTTGTCAGTCCCTTGTGTCTGGATGAAATCTATTTCTTGCTCATCACTGTTTCAATTTTGTTTTTTAATAATTTTATTTTATAATGAAGCCTATGGCACTAGATAAAGTACTATCTGACAAAGATAGTGAGGATGAAGTCGACGATGACATTGCGGATTTTGAAGACCGAAGGGTATGGATTTCTTTGAACTAGTGACTATTGTTTGACTTGTTTGTGCCCGGAATCTGCAGTAAGGAATATTTGATCTGGATGTGATTACAATCATATTAAATCTTTTTTTTTTTGGCCTTTGTGGAAACTTACAATACCAACTTGAGGTGTTAATTTACAGATGCTTGATGATTTTGTGGATGTCACCAAAGATGAAAAGCGGCTTATGCATCTATGGAACTCCTTTGTAAGAAAGCAAAGGTTGTTTTTTCATTACCTTATTTTCTCTATACTGTTTAATACTCGTTCGACATGGTACCGAACTGAGCTGAGTTGCAGCATTTAAAATACTTTACCTAGCGGTCTCGTGATTCCTATACAAAAGTAAGTATATTATCTGTGCTATTTACCAGGGTGCTGGCTGATGGTCATGTTCCTTGGGCGTGTGAAGCATTCTCGAAACTTCACGGGCAAGAGCTCGTCTTGTCTCCGGCTCTCTTTTGGTATTTCTCTTACAAAAATTTGGCATATTTCTGTGGCTAGTTTTGATGTAGGTTTGCATTGTGATGTTTGTTAGGCTCGAATACATATTTCAATATTATTCTAGTTATTTGGGTTCTACATAATCTCGTTGGTCCATTCTTCTTGTGTTCGAAGAGTGGGTGAACGGCTCCATTTCGAGTCAGGCTTCAAATTTGACATTCTTGCGTGCTGAATCACTTGGACTCAATATACATGAATGCACATCTCTGTGTTGGCTTTCTTCCTGTTGATCTCACTTTGTTCAATTTTTGGCAGGTGTTGGAGGTTATTCATGATCAAGCTCTGGAATCACGGCCTTCTCGATGCTTCTACCATGAACAACTGTAATTTAACTCTTGAAGGGTTCAAAGATGAGAGTTCGGATGCGACGAAAAATTGCAGAAGAGATGACGATTAGCGGTTTCTTCGACTAGTATTCTTATTGTTCATTAACTAATCATTTATAGGTTGGAGTTATTTCCTTTACATTCATTATTCATGTGAGTTTACTTTCTTTCCTAACTTCTATTGAATGAAGAAATATTATATATATATATATTGAACGAAGAAAGATCCACCCCATAGTAGAGTTTTGAGTGCAACCGTGGCTAATCGAAAAATTCATCTTTGAGATGGTAATAAATGTCTTATTTATCGAACTATTTTTAAATTAGCATGAGTTCATATTGAAAGTACAGTGATTAAAATGAGTAAAATTTGAACGTAAATGGATCAAAATAGATATTCTGAAAGTGCAGGGATGACCTAAGTGAACGTACATGAACTAAAATAAATATTTGAACTATATTTATTTAACTTACCTATATTGTTTTGTGGATTATTTATAAATAAGAATTTTCATTATATATCTATTATTATTGAGTCAATTGTCAAAATCTATCTAATTTGAGTGCAACTTTAAGTGGATAAGGCACTTTAATACCATCTCGAGGATTAATGGTTCGATTTTTCAACCTCTAAATTGTTCAACTCACAAAAAAAAAGTTGTCAAAATCTAATTATAAGTTTAAGGTTTCGATTTATACTTTTAATAGGAAAAAGAAAAAGGAGAAAAATCTTGGATACAATGAACTTATTAAGTGGGTAACATATTGTATAAAAGTGGTACTAACAAATCAATTATATTAAAGCCATTTCATTAGATTAATTTAAAGGCTAAATATTGTTTTCTGTTTGGTGTGTGCTGTAGATATTGATGCGCATGCTAGTTTTAGAGAATTTGGATTTTTTTGTTATTTTAATTTTAATTATAATTTTTTTATATTTATTTTAATTACAACTACTGTTGTAGAAAATGAACTCAATAAAAATATATTTTATGGGAAATTTACTATTTCCATTTTTTAAATATACTTTCTTAAATTTTAACAAGTTCATTAACCTAAAATATGTTAAAAAGGTTAAAGGCATATATCATCAACCAAAAAAATTAGATATTCAAATTTCAACTCAGGTTGTTGAACTAAAACAATTATTAAAATGCTACTGACTCGCCAAAGTAAACATAACTTAGTGATAATTAACATATATTTGTTGTGTTAAAAAAATTGGTTGTAAAAAAAAAGGTTAAATCGTGAGTTTGAATCTACCTTGTTGTATTAAAAAAAATGTTTTGAGTGATATATTCACATATAAATATGGCAAAGCGAACATATCTCAGTCATAATTAACATATGTCTGTTGCGTTAAAAAAATTGGTTGTTAAACAAAAAGGTTAAATCGTGAGTTTGAATCCACCTATTGTATTAAAAAAAATGTTTAAGTGGTATATTCACATCTAAATATGTTAAAGCGAACATAACTCAGTGGTAATTGACATATACCTCAAACCACAAGATCGTGAGTTCGAATCTCTAGTCGAAATATTGTACTAAAAAAAATGACGTTATTATAATAATAATAATTTAACAAAAAGAAAATAATAATAACTTTTTGTTAACAATTTTTCTCTCGTAATTTTGTCATCTCACGATTCCTTCTCTCTCGAAATAGGAATTTCTTTTTGCTTTGCTTTTACTCTTTTGCCCTTTTTGTTTGTGAAAACCAGCAGTCAGCACCCCAAGCTCTCCCTCCCGATTTGGACTGCCGGCGACCGACCGACGGCGAGGATCAGCGGAAAGTCCGACGACGACGCCCCTGCACGAATAGCATCCACGCGACGGCGACACTAATGGCTTCGCCCTTGACTCCAAAAAGGTATTTTCCTTTTTCTGTCCTCCGTAGTAGAAAACCCTCAATTCATGTTCATACTCTTGACCATTTTTGTTTAGCAGAGATTTATGTACGAATTTTGGTTTCTTTTCTGCTGTTTGCTCCACTTCTCTCATTCTCAATTGGCAATTCAGAACTATTTTATACTTCGAGACTAAAAATCTCAACACCCATATGAACTTTGAGCCTTAAACTGAGACTGAATACGATTTGATGCTATCGAAAGATGAAATTAGGCACACATTTTCTACTGGACTTGATAATGGATTCGTTATGGCTCTCTTTTAGTGTTTTATAGTGCTTCAACATTTGCAGTACCTGAAAACCACATATGCATGCATATATTACAATGCCACAGCATCATTTATGTAGAAATTGTTGTACCTTTCGTATTTACAGAGAGGTTGGAAATCAAAATTCTCATTTCTCTGGGAATTAGAGAGTGTACGGTATAAAGATTCTGCAGTCTTACCTACTTTCTGCCTTGGCTCCGTCGGAGATTGATCACGTCTGGGCGTTCGAATGTCGATGGGAAGCGATACTACTTGGGTAGGAAAGAAACCTCTGAGGCGCATCGGAGGAATGTCCGATGCTCTCTCCATTGCTGCTGATCTCGGTTTCTCTGTCTCTCCTCCCCCTTCCCAGGTCACTCCTTCTATCTCTGTCTGTTTATACATTTCATGGATCTTCCATTTATCACTCTTTTATGTTCTTTATCTGTGTATACATGATCCAATTCGGTTTAAATTTAAAGCTGTAATTACCTCTCCCCTTTGTTTCTTTCTGCTGCAAATTTCCGATACATGAGGTTTTAAACCCATGGTTGATTGTGGATGTCGTTAAATAATTTAATAGGTAAATGCGTGTTGCAAATTAGTTTTTGGAAATGGTGTAGAGCTCTCGATTGGAGTTCTCAACCCACCAGTTGAATTGGAGATTTAGGTCTACATCTCAGGTCTAATTAGGCATAACTTGGATTTGAATTTTGAATTCCGGAACTTGGTAAATATATCAAGTAATGATTATTAAAGGGAAATCGTATTTATTCATTATATTTACAAAGCGAGGTCAATGTTTACCAGTCTCTTCACTGGTGGAGACTGAATGTTTATTGCAAGAGTACACCTGGGCTGAATTTTGGAAATTTATTTAAAAGATATTTTGTTTGTATATTCTTGCCTGGCTTATAAACCACTAGTTTTTGGTAAAAGATGCTGGCTGTATAGAAAGGGCTAATCTCTCTCGGAGGGAAAAACTCACCCTCAGTGGACGAGCTTAAAGATATCCCCAATATACTATACATCCTTTAAGAATTCTTCCTAAAATCATGAGTAAGGTTCCTTGGGAAGGCTGGAAGGCATCTGGGGATGGCATGGGGTTCCAATTAGACCATTAGGCTAAAGTTTCTTATCCGAAAGATTTTGGAAACCAAGGCCTTGGTAGTATTTGTGTGAAGAGGACTACCCTCTCGAGGAAAATGGTTATGGAGATTTATTGACTATCTTTTCTCAAGACATTCAGTTGTTGTCTGCAAGTGTCATGTAGACTCCTTCGGGTTGGATATGAAAATGGTGGGATGGAGTAACCACTGTCCTTGGCCTTTTATCCATAAGACGAGTATTTATTTAAAGTCCTGTTTCATTTCTGCATTGACCATCCTTGGAGGAATATCTACAATCAGAGGCATCTCATTTTTGACAGAATATCCTCCAAGGTGAGAAATGGAGCATCTACTTCTTTCTGGCATGATCCTTGGCTGTTTGATTCCCCATTGGCCTCAACCTCCCCCCGCCTCTTCTCCCTATCTCTTCAGAAAACAGCATCTGTCAAAGATATTTGGAACCCCATCCTCAATTTCTGGGACATAGACTACAGACGTTTTTCAAAGGAGGAGGAAATTACAGATTGGGCAACTCTATCCCATCACCTGGATTCCACCTTTCTCCATGAAGGTGATGACTCATGGGTTTGGCCATTAGACAGGAATGGATCCTTTTCCATCAAGACTCTTCTCACTGACATGGCTCCAAAGAGATCCCTCTTGCACTCAACTCTTGCCAAAGCCATTTGGAAGGAAAACTACCCAAAAAAACCAAATTCTTCATATGGGAGCTCGCTCACAGGGGCATCAACACCTCAGATAAGCTACAACGAAGATTACCCTTCATGGTTCTCGCACCACATTGGTGTATACTATGCAAAAAAGAGGGGGAATCGCCCTCCCACCTTTTTCACACATGCTCCCTGGCCATGGACTTTTGGAATTTGATTCTCCATGCATTTGACTGGTCTACCGCCCTCCCTTTTGACGTACAAGATTATGTGGAAGCACTTCATTGGAGCTTTTCTTTGGATTTTTTGGAATGAAAGGAACCATTGACTATTCCTAGACAAAAATCTGCCTTTCATCACCCTTTTTGATAATATTACTTTTCATGCTATGTCTTGGTGTAGATCAACACACTATTTTCACTCTTATAGTTTGAGCTCTTTATTATCCAATTGGAGAAATTTTCTGTAACTCCTTTGGTTTTTGGTGGGTTTGCCCTTCTCTTTGTAATTTCATCCATCAATGAAATTGTTTCTTATCAAAAAAAAAAAAAATTCTGCATTGACCATGGAAAAAGATCAGCTTTTGGAAGGACACTTGATACTGCTTGGATTGCCCCTCCTTCTGCGGGTGACTTTTTGCTACAGTTCGTCTGTGGCCCTTGGTCTAAGGGAAAACCTGCAATCAATTGGTACAGCTCTAACATAACTATCTTGTCAATGATTTAGAGATGGGAATATGGAGAATCTTTGGGACAGAAAAGAGTGACGGGTGTCTTTTGGGGATCATGTGAATTTTTTGCTATCTTTGGGTGTCCATTACCAAAGGGCTTTGTAATTTCTTCTGTTTACTTGATTTTGGTGGCAGAGAGTTCTTTGTAATCTAGTGAACCAGGAACGGTCATCCAATCCTCCCTCCCATCTCTTTGTATGCCTTCGTAATCTACTAACCACCTTTGTTAGGAATGGTCATCCAATCCTCCCTCCCATCTTTTTGTATGCCTTTTATCTTTAACACATTTCTTGGCTTTAGACAAGTGATTCTTAGGGCTATGTTAATTCTTACCAATAAAATCTATTTCAAGCTCAAAGTGCCTGGTCATGGCTAATTTTCTTCTTCAACTTTGCTAATTCGCTTGTTACAGTGGTTTATTTGAGTTCTCTGGTATACTTAATACAACTTAGTAACTTAAAATTTGGAACTTTATAGCCTGAAGTTATAAATGGTATAATCTGTCTCCTTTAGGAAGAACTACAAAACATATCATCTGCCACTGGTGAAAAGGGTGATGATCTAATTAAAGTTTTACGAGAACTTACTGCTGTTCAAAGGAAAATAGCAGATCTTCAAGTGGAACTCCAAGGCCGTAAAGTGAGTATCCTGTTTTGTTTCTATCAATTTCAACTTTTAATGCGTATGAAGTTTTCAGCATCAAAATAAGATAAAATTATACTTGTTCATTGTTAATCTGTATATTTTATATTCATTATTGTACTAAATGAATTGAAATATGATGTCCTTAGGATGACAAAAATGTAGCCCATTTGACACATGTGAGTGAAATGGAAAAGAAGATCGAGACTTTATCAAGGATTACTACCATTTTGAAAGATGTCATCCAGAATAAGGTGCTTTCTTGGACTATGATTCTCAACCCTGTATATTTTGCCATCTTGCCATGGATTTGAAACATGTTTAAATGCCTTGTGCTTTTTAATCTCTTTTTCTTATAACTGACCTCCAAATTTTGGTGGGGAGGACCTCAACTAAATGGTCTGTTTAATTTCATGATAATTCTTGATTGCTAATTTGCTTCTATAATCCAATTCATCAGTTGGTTTTCCTCCTGTATAAGAATTGATTGATCATTCCATCATAACATGTGAATTACGAAATTGATCGTTCCATATTTCTGAAAATTTTTTATTTATATGTGTTGCAAGCTTTCTTTTCCGATAATACAAACTTGTTCTTGGAAAAATTTGGCAGAAAGAGGTATTTGCCGTCCTTTCTGCCCTTTTTTACCCTTGATTTAATGAGTATTGGATTGCTGCAGCATATATTTATTGACACTTTCAAATTCTTTATTGAGGCCGTGTTTCTTTAAAAGTATTAGTGCTTTTAGGACTTGAAATGTGTTAGGATTACCCAGAGACTTTCAATATGCTTATTAGTTGCTTCTAGTATTTGCACTGTTTTAGTTTTTAGTTTTTTTTTAGTACAACATGTGGGGCGGAGATTCAAACTCTCAACTTCATGGTTGGAAACATGTGCCGTAACCCGCTAAGCTATGCTCTTGTTGACATTGCTTTAGTTTACCAGTCCTCATTGGTGAATATTATATTGAAGGACTCAAGGAAATGTCATGGAACTACTTTGAGAGAACCTTTCTATCTAAAATTACTTCTTTTTGCCTAGGTGGAAACTTATGTAAGTAGTATTTAGTAATTGTGAAAGCAAGTGCCCCCTGATCTGTATAAAGTTCGTTTGCCTCGCAAGACAAGGTTATCAATTGCTTATGCTTATTCTTTTTAATTTTTTTTTCCTGCATGGTGAGGATTTGACCGTCATGACCACTGCTGAAATCCTTACTTTATTTTCTCTAGCATACCATTTTTTCCTTTTATGGATACATTTTTGTCTTGGACCTGCTATAAAAGTTAATTACACTGGTTGCAGATCTAGAGTGACTCGTCATTTTCCAATGAATTATGGAGAGAGCTAAGAGAAATTAATTGGAAATTAGTTGAAATTTGAATTGCTTTGATATTTTCGTAACTTTGGTTAACTGTTAAAATTAATCTCTACAATCTTGGTCTTCCTAATGAGATCATCCCTAGAGACGTTAGTTGTCAACTTGAGAATTTGAGAGAAATAATGATTTTTATATAAGGAAGAATGGTTGAAAGAATTTTTATTATAGCTGTAGATATGGAAACATGTACCCTGCAAAGTATGTATATTATCTGATATGTTCTTTGATTGCTTTTCTTGACAAGTTCTAAGTTCTAGCCGTAAAAATTTGTGCTGATTGATATTCCATGGTAACTTGTCTCTTCTTATCTCACTGCTTTTTCTTTTTTTCTTTTAAATGTAGCTCATAGATTCTAATTTTGATATTTATAAAATTGGGTAACCAATTAAAAGACTCAAATTTAGAGACTAAAATGGAAATAAAGTTAAAATTCAGGACCAAAATAATATTTAACATTTTTATTGTAAAAGTTTCTCAAGTATTTCCTTTCAATATTAATGAGCCTATTTAGCCCATACATGTACCAAATATTTCCCGACTTTGATTGGCCATGTCCTGGTGTCTAAAATTATTGTTTTTTTAATAAAAATTGGAGACTTGGTTTCTTGTTTGTTTCAACTTGTGTTTGACAATGATTCTTTAGCCTTGAGAGTGCATCCATGCATCCTATATCATATCGATAGTTAAAATAATCTTAGTGCCATGATATCTTCTTTATCTCGTTTTCCTCATTTCCAAATATTGTAGGATCGTATTATAGCTCGTCTTCAGCAACCATATTCACTCGATTGCATTCCAGTGGAAGCAGAATTTCAGGTTTGTCAATCAGTGAAATGCTTATCATTCCTTGAAAATCCATGACACAAAATTTTCCGGTATTTGAGGCGACTGGATGTCGGTAACATCCCTTGACTTGCTTTACTCGGATTATGAGAAAATGGCATATGAAATTCAACAAGAACATGAACTCTAATATTTCTCTCTTTGTTCACTTTTCCAAAAACAATTGTATTGATCATCCAAAACAGCCAAAACTGGAAACCTCATCATTCCATAAAGTTTTGGCTGTTTCACTGACAAACTCTTCATCATGAATTTATGATCGTGTGATCAGGCAGTGAAAGGAAGTTTGAAATCTGCATGGCGTTGTTTTATTTTCTGCTTCTGATAAGATTGAGATTTTGCCGAAAGTAAGCTAATCTTATGACTGATTGACAAACAACGATGCTCGATGGCAATGTTTTGCAGAAACAATTTTCCGAGTTACTGATGAAGGCTGCCAGTGATTATGGAGCTTTGACAGCTTCAGTCGCAGATTTCCAATGGAGTCAGAACTTTAAGGAGTCACCTTCAGTGTGGGGGGTAAGCCTTAATCATCTCTGCCCTATCTAATTTCATGTGTAGATGAAGCTCTGCTGTTCTAACTGAGGATGAAATGCCCATTTAGATTTTAAAAATTGGATCTTTTCCAATTAAATGAATTACAGTCCATACTTAATCCAAAGTTGAAACTAATCTTTAATCTGTTTTTTACTAATGTAGGAAATGCTTAGGCCCATTCCTGTAGCTTTAGCTTCTTGCACAAGATTCTTTGAAGCCATGAGTGCTATGAGGGAATCCTTTGCAACACTACAAAATCTCAGAGTAGGTAATTCCGATTCATCTCTGCCCACAACCCCGCCTATCAATCCATCCCTTCGAGTGGCAGGCGATTCTGACTGCATCACGCCGCCTCCATGGCGAACCGAATCAAGCTTTGATGACTTGGCCATCAGAAGCATGCATAGTCAAAAAAATGGACAACGATACAAAGCTGAAGATGAACACAGTGAGCAGGATGATGGCTCGAGCCATCGAAGATTGTCGTGGCCCCCTTCGGTTAAAAAGAGTGGCATTTGATATTGATATTGTGTTCTGATGTAGAAGAGTTTGCTGTTTATCATTTTATGTACAGGTAAGATATTAATTAGATTGATCATGATGAATATTGTACACAATCATCAGTTTATCATCGTTTGTTTAATGGAGTGATTTATTAAATTTTTGTAACAATAATTTGAATCTATGGTTTAAATTTGTTGAAATATTCATTAGTTTCAATCTTCCCCTGACACATGGATTAAGTCATAAAACAAACTTTATAATAAAAATGGGAGTAAGTCAAAATGATTAAAGATTTTAGATTTACCTAAATTCATAAGGTGAAATTCGAAAACTTCTATAGTAGAATCATAAGTTGATTCGAGGATTTACTATAATATTCTAGGATCAATTGGTTGGTTCTTAATTAGACTATTTATTTTAAATGAATTAATTCGATTAATTCCCATATATAATTCACATACTTTAACTTATTATTAATAATAATAATAATAATAATATTATTATTATTATTTGTGATTTGGATGTTTCAGTAAATTTTCATAATTTACTGATAAATTACTTCCTTAGAAATTTGCTTGAAGTTATGAGGAACATATCATATGTTTCTGTTTTTTCTTGATTTCCAAACAAATCAGAATAATATAAAATCCAAATTCCTAAGAAATTTTGCATTCGATTAAATAAAATAAAGAACACTTGATAAGAAGAAAAAAAAAACATTCAATTTTGCTCTGTGATATTATTACCTTTTCTACCATAAAGTTGTAAATATCTAGACTTTTTAATATCTATTTCTTTACCAATATCGACATATATAGTTGATTTAAAAATAAAATTCAATGACATGTTTGGTTGGTTTATAATTTAACAGCTGAAATAAAATTATTTCTGAATATGGAGAAAAAAATTTAACTCGTACAATTTTTTTTTTCTTTTTACAAAATTGCACTTGATTTTCCTTTTGAAGAGTTCAGCTAATCTCGATAAAAAGTATAAATATCTAAATCATTGAGATGTGTTTATATGGATACATTTGAAATAAAATAAAGATTACAAAGGGTTATATATATATAATTTTTTTGACTAAATCATTACAAATTTAAAACTAAACAAATATATATTAAAGTTCATGGACTAAAATTATTATCAATTTAAAAGTATAGAGACTAAAAGTCGTTATTTTAACAAAAGTATGTGGATAAAAAATGTTTTTTAATCTAAATTAAATTAGAAAATTACTATAAAAAAGAGCTAAAATGAATCCGTATAATTCTAAAGAGTCGAAAATGAAAACAGAAAAAAAATTTATATTAAATAATTTAGAAATTACCATATTTAGAAACATTTGTAACTAATAACCATTTTAAAAATAAGAATACTCGTTTACGTGAATATAATTCAATTAGGGTGTATATTCTTGACCTAAAAGTCGAAGGTTCGAATCTCAACTACTCGTGGTTGAGTTCAAACTAAGGGAAAAAAACAATAAGAAAGAAATATTTTATTTTCTTACGGCTTAGGAACACGCGCCCTTTAAAAATTTCTCGATAGAAAAATGGCGCCAACTGATCCCGCGAGAATTGAAGTTCCAAAATTAAACCAATACAATTTGACGAAGATTTCTCAAGAAATCAAATGTTGGAGAAATCGGAGCCATGGAGAAGTCGAGCCTCGTTGATTCCCAGGTATAATGTTCTTGAACAGATATATGCTGTGCTACTGCTTCCCATTTTATGCTATACTGATATGCAAGTTTTGAAGGTTTATTTCATTCGACTCAATAGAGCAATTCAAGCCCCAAATCTTCTATTTCTAACTCTTTTTTTGTGTGCTTATTTTTGGTTTTTGGATGGTCGTAGGTTCTGCGTTCATCGTCATTGGATTCGCCATCTTCTGGTTCGTATGCTTCTTCCTAATTTACCAACTTAATATCTGTTTGGATGAGGGGAAGATGTAGGGAAAAGGGAATTATGGCATGGGACGATAGCGATCTTCAATTTCCTTTGATTTTCGGTTGTATCTCTGTGCTACCAAATAGGATTTTGGATGCATTTTTCTGTGTTTCGTGTTAGTTGCACCCAATTTTATTCGTGTGTTATATTCCATCAGAGCCACCAGATATCAGGAATTGGTTCTCGAGCTATGTATACGAATCCCCTGAACTTGATTCGAATGACATGTTTGGAGATTCTATTTCGAAAGAAAGAGAAATCGGGAAAGATGAGCTGACTGCGGATGACGAAAATGGAGTAATTGAGGAAAATTTTGGTGAATTTAGGGATGTCACAAAGATTGACGAAGAAGAAGCTGATGAGAAGCTTCCCAGAACTTGGATTCCTTTGAAATGCACTCCACTGGAAGATCATCACGAAAGCCAGCCTTTAGGCTTGGTATAGAACTGCTCTGCCTTTCAAAAATTTTTTCTCCCTTCGAATTTAAATGCAAAATATGTTATTGTTCAAAGAAAATGGTTGCTAGATCTCTATCAAACGCTTAGACTTCAGTTACTTTTCATACTGAACTATTTTATCAACAGAAGGTATGTCGAGACTTCAACAGAAGAAATTGATTGTTAATTAACCAAAATTTGAATATCTAAATCGGCTATAGAAACAGATAAGGATTAAATAATGGAGAAATTGAGACTTTATTTGATAATGATTTTGTGTTTTATTTTATTTTTGTAAGAAGTAAGGTTATTTATAATGTTTTGTCTCTCACTTCATAAACATACTTTTGAAATCTTAGTTTAATTCCAAAAACCAAACAAGTTTCAGTTTAGTTCTAAAACTAGGAAACTAGAAACAAAACGATTATGCTCAAAATACTTGGTGTTTTCTGAATTTGATATTTTTTGGATTATACGAATTGTAGGCAAGCAGCTGCAATTAAAGCCCAAAATTGTTAAACGTCTAACACTTAGTTTCTCTTTTTGTATTCTCATGGTAGAATCAAGATTCTTGGTGCTCACAGTCGCTTCTGTCAGGTTTATATCACTAACTCTGGAATTCACTTTTCCAATGAAAATCAATGTTCTGTCTTTACTATCTAGTTTTTTTGGCAATCAGTCAAAAGATCTGGAAGTGTTTCAACATAAGGACAGTTGAAGATTTTTGTTTTCCTTTTCATCAGAGCCTCCTGATGTTGGGAACTGGTTTTCAAGTTACGTATACGAATCACCTACATTGAATCCTAGCCAGGAGTTTGGATCTTGTGGAAGCGATAATACTGGATTAGGGGACGAAATAGAAGAGAATTTGGAGATTGTTAAAAAAACAACAAATGGGGCTGAAGAAGTACAGCTGAACCTCTTCCTAAAATGCAATGGCAGTTCCAGGGGAAACCGGCAGGAAGAGCAGCCCCTAGGCGAGGTACAAGTTTTGTCATCTTTTCTATAGGATAATATAGACATTATATACCTACAAATAGGCACTCAATGAGAAGCGAAAACAGAGATCTTCATATTTCGATTTGGCCTCTAAGGGCTCTAAGAAAGTTTGCCAGAAAATTCCTCAAAATCTTGGATTCCAGCCTGGAAAGCTTAATATATGAAAATCTGTTTGGTGGAGAGGGTTTTGTTGCATCCCCTCTTGGGATAAGGGCAAAATTCTTTAACAATTGTGTTTTTTTTGTCATTGTGGGGGAGTTTTTAGAGGGTTAGAGAGGTGTTGGGAGGTTATCTGGGAGCTTATAAGATTGAATAGTTGTTTGTGGGCCTCGGTTACAAAGAAGTTTTTTAATTATTAGTTAGGTGTTTGGATTGGAGCGAGCCTGTAGGCTGGACTTCCTTTCGTTGAGCTGGTTTTTTTGGTATGCTCGTGTACATTCTTTCATCTTAATGAAAGCTCGGATTTCTTAAAAAAAAGATGAAATTTTTTTTATCTTCTTAATATATGAAAATCTTGTTATCTCTTGGAGTTGGTGTCCACTCTTTGAAATCTCTCACTAGAATAGTAGGGTGGAACTTAAAACCACGAATATAAGGAAAGAAGAAAAAGAAAACATAGTTCCAGATATAGTAACTTGGTAATGGAACTGATAATTCATCTCATTGTAGCTTAATATCCCCAGGTCAAAATTTAATCACTGTGACAAGTATGGTGCTAGAACGACCCTTTTGTGAGTGTTTTTCTTCAAGTTGTTTCCATAGGAAGTAAAATTTTTTTGACCCTCTTAGCAGAATTTGTCTTCTGAAAGAACTTCAGAGCAAGACCCAAAAGAGAAAAGTTTGGGAGCCAAGAGAATCAACCCAACCAAAGAAGTTCCAAATTCGAGCCTTATCACTGAAGAAGATGGTTCTGCTTCTGTGCCACTGCATATAAATGGAAGTTCAAACAATGCCAACACGAAGCTTTCAACTCGTAAAAATTTGGTCCATAAAACTGATCTCATGCTGGAAAATTCTCAAAGTGAGGTTCAAACACAACTTGATGGCTCATCAAGAAAATGGATTGATTCGAGCCACAAGAAAGAAAAGACAGAAAAAAGAGTTTGGGAGAATGGCTTGGTAACAGCAAGCAAGCGTGAAATTTGTGGCGCAACTTGCAAGAAATCAGTGGAAAGGCAAGAAAACTTCAATAACAAAGAGACAGGAAGTGCTTTTGCTTGCCTTAGAAGAACGGCACTGTCAGACAAAACCAATGTCGAGCATTCTAATATAGTAGAAATAACTGGGAAATGGAGTTGTCCTCGGAAAAGTAAGCCGAATCTCGGACCGCCATTGAAGCAGCTTCGACTCGAGCGATGGGTTCGCAAGGGATGATATATCTATTGATTATGCGGAATGCATACTACAAAATAGTATTGGAAAGGTCCCCAATATATGATCATGGTATGTAATCTTGGAGGACTTTCATTTTTTTCAAAATTTCAATACCTGAATGAGCCTGCCTAATGTTACTATGTCCACTGTATATTTTGCTGTAACATTTTTGAGCAGAGAAGCAAATGTTGGGAAGAAATTTCTTAGTTTCCATGTATGTAATCATATAAAGCAGATGGTTTCATGCTGAAGAAGACCTAGGAGGCACGGACACTCATATGCATATATTATCTAAAAATAAAAAAATAAAAATAACATGTCCCCATGTCAGTATGCTATTTTTAAGTTCTTTAAACTTTTCAGTTCTAACCTTTGGCATTTGACATGTAGATTTTTGTTCTCTTTTCAATTATTGGAGGAAGAAAAATAGACAAAATTTTTAACAAATGTCTCTTCATCCCTCAATCTCCCTCTAATTTTTAAATGAATAAAGTTCACCACAAATTGGTTTGACATGTGCAGTTGGGATGTTTATTAGGGCTTGTCTAGCAGAGTTTCCATTTTTTTTTTCTATTTTTTTGTATAATAAAATAATATTTTATTTATGTTTTGAAGAAAAGAAAATAAGAAATAAGAAATAAGAATTTTTTTTTATCTAGAAAATTTGAAAATAAGATAATTACTCAATTTTAATGTTTTTCAAGAATTAGAAATGAAAAACAAGAAACAAGAAAAGTAAACTTTACTAAATAAGTTCTTATTAACGATTTTATGCTGTCAAATTTTAATGAGACTTCAATGTTTATTAGTTGCGGACGAATGTGATTTTTTTAGGTCAAAATATATTTTGTTAATTTAATTGGAAATATCTTATATTTTTAATGTAAATACATAAATATGCTCACTTATAAAATTGATAATATATCCACCTTTCGATTCAGGAAGGAAAAAAAAAAAGATTATATATCCACCTTATGTCACAATTTTTTTTTCCAAATGATCCACCTTCCATAACTTAAATAGGGTGGGATGGTAACTATAATCCATTAGAAATATAATGATATTAATTATCGTTGGAGGTAAAAATATGACCTATCGCATGGTGAGATATGGTCGAGCTACTTAGCTCATTTATTGTTGAGCTCCTATGCCCATCTATGACCGAGCACCTTAGCTCATCTATCGTCGTGCTACTAAACTCATCTAAGGTTGATTACTAAGCTCATCCATAGTCGACCTCAATCATTGTCAACCTATTGCCCAACATCTATCCGCCTTGTCGTAACGGCTATAACAGACATGCCCTTTCACTTCACCTATAAAAAGATCTTCATTCCTCTTACTCAGGTATACAATTCTGCTATGATAATGACCTATTTGAGCTCGTGCCTATACTGACTTGAGCGTCGGAATGTTTACTTTCTTTTTGCAGGTCCTAAATTGCATGAGCTCACACCTTGTCAGCTCGGCCAATTGCCACGTGACCGACCTCGACAGCTTGGTAGAATTTTGCATCAACAACTACTAATTATCTATGTAATGCACTTTTAAATGTATATTTGCACTTGCTTTTGAGTACTTAGGACAATAATAAATTTCACCATTAATTTTACTGTATGATCAAATTAGTTAAAAAATATCATATGAGGCCGTTGTTAAAGGTTAGTCTCGGAAAAAAATCAACATGAATATAGCTTATTAGTTAAAATATATCTACTAATTTAACTCCTAAAAATCACTTTATGAAAATTTTTATTTATAGAAAGAAATACTTCATTTAGATGAAAAAACTATGCAGTTTCTTTTTTACTGGCACTTTTAAAATGTTTAATTTTTTTTTAATACATTAATATGGAATGGGATTTGAACTCACAACTTTTTAGTCGGAATATATACCTCCACCAGTTGAGTTATGCTTTAGATTGACAATTTTTGTAAGTGACCAATTTAGTTATAATTTGTAAAATATTAATACAAATTTTATAATCAACGAAAATTCTTAGAGACAAATTTGTAGCTCCATTTTAAAAACTTAAGCTACTAATTGTCATGCAAAAATTTGTAAAAACAAAATTAAAAAATACAAAATTTAAGCGATTTTTTTTTTAAATTTAAGAGAATTAAAATATAGCTGGGCGGATCAAGACAGTAAAATAGTATTTAAATCTAAAATTTAAAATATTTTGATTCAATCCATTTTGCTCCCATTTTTCCCTTTTCTCTCTCCGCTTGAAGCCATCTTCCAAACTGTACAGCGAAATTCGAATGGGAGCATTCAAAGTTCTGAGCAGAAGATTTTCCAATCTCACCTTTCAAATCCATCATTCTCCTCTGAACGTTCCGATTCCGGCCAAAAATCTCGGTCATCCATCGCCAAGATCCAACTTTTCCGATGGGTTCAGATCGCCCTCACATCCATGGCAGTTCAGTCATTGCAGAACTCTCATTTTGGAGTCCCTTTCTTCTGAGTCAGTCCGGCTTCATCGACTTTCCGACTCCAATTCTGGTAATTCCGGGGCCGACGAAATGAAAACCTGCTTCAATTTTTTTAAGGGCAAGATATCAAAAGAAACCCATCGCCATATCAGAAGAGTCTATGGAAATTTATAAGTATTGCATTTTTATTCTGCGTTGAACAATTATATAAATTTGAGTTACTTCGATTACTGAAGTTTAATGCTGTCCCGATCATGCTAATTTATGGCTTGGTGATTGAGTGATGTTCCCTTGCATGTGGTTTAAGAGGTGAGTCTACTCCGCGCGGAGCAACTGTGTGTACTCGTTACTTACTTTAAGGGCATGATATTGCTTTGGACTGAATGATCCGTTATTTCTGTTTTGATGGCTACTTCGTCGATGATTTGATTGTCTGAAGAGTAATGGGATTTAATCTTTTAGTACGTTGGGAAACTTTCAAAAGCTTGAGACCGACGATTTCACCAGCACCATGTGTTTTGAACAGAAGTTCTGAGAATTCGTATAAGAGTCCAGAACCAATTAGGCTTTTATTTTGGTCCTTTAATCTATTATTTATGCTTGTTCTTCAATGGCATAAATTTCCATAGACTCTTCTGATATGGCGATGGGTTTCTTTTGATATCTTCATTATTGCATTTTTCTTCATCAGTAATGCTATCTTTGATCGTTTCTTGTCATGTTTCTAGAGTTATTGGGCTGCATGAGTTATGTGTTAATGGAAATACTCTCGGGTTTTTTTATGACAGGAATTGTTGAGATTCATTTAGACAGACCCGAGGCAAAAAATGCCATTAGCAAGGATATGCTGAGGGGATTGCGTCATGCGTTTGAATCTGTTGATAGTGATCCATCGGTCAATGTTATGATGATATGCAGCTCCATCCCGAAGGTGTTTTGTGCAGGTGCCGATTTGAAGGTATTCTCGTTTTTCCAGCTGGTTTATATTGCAGCAATGTGATATAATCTCTAACAACTGGGCTCTCACAGTATGGTAGGGCTCTAACTTCTTTTCCCTCCTCAATCCATTGTTGAAGTGCAGGAGCGCAGGACAATGACAACATCTGAAGTTCAATCCTATGTCACCTCACTGCGGTCTGCATTCTCGTTTTTAGAGGTAGGTTGTTATATTTTACCTACTTGCTTTTAAATTCTATGATTTATTCTATGTCATATTTGAACAAAGATGTTTTACTTTTTTCAAATATATAATGCATCAGTTGAGGTGCACATGAGCCACAATAAATATTTAGATCATGAGTTATTATGTCATACCTTTAAGTTTCCTATCAAAAAAAAAAAAAAAAAAAGATCCTGATCTTCTATGACTGATGCTTGTAACCTTATTCATCATTTAGGGCATGCTGATTCTTCTGTGGCTTTGAGATTTGATTCATAATGATTCCACATATAAATATAGGCTGCTATACTCGATTTTTTTAAAAAAATAATTTCGAATGGAATGCTTGTCTTTTAGAGCCTTATTTACCTGTAAATGAGTGACGAAGTCTAGAAAATGCTCACTTCTTTTAAATGCACTATTTTTCTTTACCTGATTAACTTAGTGAGTTTTCAACCAGATACATTTAATATGCAATACTTCTTTTTCTTGATCTCAAATAAACTCGATATCCTAACTTATTATGTTGACTCTTTTTTATTTTTATTTATCGTATTTTTTATATATTTGATATTCAAGTTTTTTCTTTCACCTTCTTTGAAATGTATTCACTTTTGTTTCTGCCGTTCCATTTGAAATCTTTCAGCTGACATAATCTAAATTTGTTTTATTCAGGCACTTCATATACCTACTATTTCAGTTATTGAAGGAGCAGCATTCGGTGGTGGACTTGAAATGGCTCTAGCATGTGATCTTCGGATATGTGGTAATTAATTTACTCAATTATTTTATAATTTAATTATTTTCTTTACTACAACTTTTCTGTGTTGGATGACCTAATTATTATAATTTGAACTGAACCATGATCCAGGGGAAGATGCCAAACTCAGTTTGCCAGAAACCGGACTAGCTATAATTCCTGGGTACATAGTAAATCCTTCTTTATATATGGTCACAAATGCACGAGATTTATCTGATGGAAAAACTATCAAGTATTTACATTTTGATTAGTACTGAGAATAGTAGAAGGAAGCCTGCATGCAAATTGAAGTTTGATAGGTCCATTACTCAGTTTATTCTTAAATCTTTCTTGGTGGAAGCTTGAAGATCTCTTATCAAGAATATTTGCCAAATTTCCCTTTTCTTCTTTTCCATTAGTATTAACATGATTGTTCTCTTGTATTGCACAAACGGATTACCCCTTCTAAACGCGTTTTTTGCAGGGCAGGTGGGACTGTAAGGCTACCTAGGCTGATTGGGAAGTCAATAGCAAAGGAACTTATATTCACTGGTCGTAAGGTCAGCGGCAGAGATGCAATGTCTATAGGTATGATCACCAAAAAATTTTTTGGCCCGATTCCTATGTTTAATTAAGGAGAAGAAAATAAAAATTCATGCTTTAGGTCTTGTCAATTACTGCGTCCCTGCTGGTGAAGCTTATGTAAAGGCACTTGAAATTGCCCAAGAGATAAATCAGAAGGTAAGTAGAACATCTATACGTATCTTCCTGGCAATCATCTTGACAATTTCACGGTGTGTTACTTCCTAAATTTAGTCTTTTGATAAAAACTATGATCTGATTGCTATGATTCAGTAATTCTAAGATGACCATCTGATGCATTGAGAGACCATAATTGTATCTTAGTTTCAAATCTTGTGGAGGGAGGGAACCATATTATTGCACCTTTAAGTTTCAACCTTGGAGAATTTTCTTGTAGATTCTAAATTCGAATTAGTATACTTTGTTTCATTCTTTATTTATTTCTTTTTTTTAATCTACGTTTAAAGCAGTATTTGGAAATTAGGAATTTATCATGTGTACTACATTCCTTAAAGAAGGCATATTCAATGAGATAGCACATCTTCTCCAAGCAATGAAAAGAGGGATTTTATGAAAAGGACTCCTAAACCCACTACCTAAACACCTATTGTACATTTCAGGCTTCTGAATCTGATTCCTACATTCCAAATACAGAATTCTTAGCAATTATATTCTCATATAGTCATACCCGAAACACAGTTGTTTGATTCCCGGGCCTGAGATTTCCCCTCACATTTCCAGGCTTCTAATATCGATGTTGGTGTCCCGACACCACCTAAATAAGTTTTAACAGTCTTCAAGGAAAATCAAAATGTCAGGTTCTTTTAAGAATTTAGGCGCTGATTGCAAGATTAGGTTATTATAAGAATTTAAAGAAACAATGGAAAATAAAAAATGTGAAACGACATCCACAAATAACCCTTTTAAGAATTTAATTTCCTCCAAATTTTGGTTATTGTAACTATTCTTGTACCAACTTGAATGAATCATTTCATAACTCCAAAGATCAAGCATATATATTTTCCAAAATTTTGTTAGACTGTATGTGTATGCCTAGAATCTAATACCCAAGTAACTGTTGAATATTATATGAACAGGGTCCACTAGCAATAAAGATGGCAAAGAAAGCGATCGACGAGGGGCTTGAGGTAGACGTGGACTCAGCATTGGAAGTAGAAGATGAATGTTACAAACAACTCTTGGACACGAAAGACCGATTGGAAGGATTGGCAGCATTCGCCGAGAAACGGAAGCCAAGGTATAGAGGAGAATAGATTGATGACACAATTGTTTGTTTCCTCTCATCTTCATTTCACTTGCTAATATATAAGAATAAATGCAAGATATGCATTTAAACTAAGTAACCTGAATTGAGAGAGTTGCTTCAGAAACTGTCAGTTCAACCTTGTTTTATTTAGTACTGATGCTATAATAAACAGTCTTGAATGGGTTAGCCTTTCAATCATTGCTCTTCTATGTCCTTAAAATTTAGAATTGTTCTTTGTTATTTCATTTCTGTGGACTGTGGGCTGGTTAGGAATGCAAGTTGAACCTCAACTTACTTGAACAAGATCTGTTCTATAGTATATTTGAGTTCTAAAGGAATGGTTTTAACTTTGGTTCAGTTCGGTTTCGTCGGTTTCAACTTGCACTCTTAAACACAAGATAATGAGTGACAAGAAGCATAGGGCCTCGACTTGCACCATTGACCTCAAGATAATGAGTCAATAGATATCATATTGGTGAGCGTATGACATTAGGATTCTAGAAAAAATATCGAGTTGTGAATAAAGTGGGTGAGTACACACACTAAAATGTATATAGCTCAATTACAATATGATTTTGTCTCTCTCAAAATATATGGATTGATTCATTATAAGAAGTATAAGGATCATGATATTGTACGAGTATATTGAAGATACGTTTTACACTATTTTTGAGTTAGTATTAATGTAAATATTCATAGATATTCATAGATATGTTTCACTCAATAAATTAGTTCCATTTCCATTTGTGAAATGAGCATAGTTTAGCAATTAAAGCATCTTATTCTTTTAGAGGTTGGAGGTCCAATCTCTCATCTCCACGCTTGTGGTGCTCAGAAAAAAAATGAAATCCTTGCTTTATTAAGAAATAGAAAATTTTAGAATTTCATATAAAAGAGTATTTCCCCACTGACTAATCCCATAAACTATCAACTTGTTTATTAGTAAAAGAAAAAAAAATGAAAAGGTTCACACATAAGAGTTGATTTTTACTTAATAATAGTTAAAACAATGAAAAGTTTTGATTTGAGATAATGCCTTGGATAAGCTATTTTGCAAATTTATTTTCACAAATGTCCAATGTTTATAAATTTTACAGTCTTAGATTTTTTGATTTAAAACTTTTTTAAATGTCAAATTTGCCCTTATTTATGACATTTATATTTATTATAATTCGTCTTTTATTTAAATGCGAAAGATTAATATTCCAAATTTGATTTTGTAAACATTAAATTACCGTGGGATCTAAATCAATCATTCTCCTAATTGCCCAATTTATTCCTTAATATATTCTACTAAAGAATGAAATTTATTACAAAATATTCAATTATTATCATAATCCCCAAATTTACTCCTTAATATATTCTACTAAATAATGAAATTTATAACAAATATTTGTTCATTTTATTACAAATTTTCGCCAAATTTCAATAATATAGTCATTATAACATACACTTATATAAAAATATATATATATAAACTATATCCGACTACGTTTTCAGTTATATGGAAATATAAACTATATCCGGCTATAAATTTAAGCAACAGACACTTAACAATGGTGATATAAACTACAGACATTATAACATACATTTATATGGAGATATAACATATATCTGACTATAAAATATATACGACTATATCCCTCTATAATTAATAAACAAAGCAAATAATCTACAAACCTTTCGGTCGGCGACTAGACAATGACCGAGATAAATAGAGGGTTGGAATGATTGACGGACGGCCGACGACAAAAAAGAAACATCTGGATAAACGGATGGAAACCATGGACGGGCGGGCAGAGACAAAGGAGAAGCTAGACGGATTGTTCCAACGACGAAGAAGAACGGAGACGGCGGCCGAAGACGGAGGAATAGATGGAAATAGAACGATAGAACAAGAAGAAAAGTCGGAGGAATGAAGTTTTCGAATTTTTTCAATGATGGAGGATTTTGGAAATTTGATATTGTTTACTTTTGGAAAATCTAGTTGGGCAAAATTTAAGCGATTTAAAATGTTAACCAATTTTGGATTTTAAAAATTAATTAATATTGAGGTGAGATACAAAAAGAATACATTAGTAAATTAGGTGATGGTACTTATCTTAAATGAGGTTATTTCATGACAAAAGTGTAAATTTATACCATTCCATTGTTTTATGTAATTATAGTTTAAGAGCCATTTTAATGTGCGGACAATTCCTTAAAATCTAAACCCCTGGGCTCATAGTCTACCAGTACCGGGGCTGGGCCTGGGCCTGGAGGGATCTCTGTAATATCACTGTGTTCTTAGTGGGCTCGTCCTCAGGCCCATTAACGGAGAACAGACACTCCAAAACCTATATATTTAGACGGAGTCGGCGAGCAATTCGATCCCGATCTGAAGCCCTAACCGCCATTGAAGAGCTTCCATTTCTGCTGAAAGAAGAGCGTAGTAGAGTGAGTACCAGAAGCTGAGAAGAAGACAATGGCTACTGTAGACGAAACACCTTCAGCTAAGAGGTGGCTTCCTCTTGAAGCTAACCCCGATGTTATGAACCAGGTATGATTCTTTTGTTCTGATTTCGTCTCTAGATTCGACCTCTACTTAGTAGGAAGAACA